CCCCAAAACCCCAAAACCCCACAAAGAAATTTAATATAAAATAAACATATTTTTGTTTTAAAAAATAGTTAAATTTAATTCATAGGATTTAGAAATAAAAATCAAAAATTCTTAATATCTCCTAATTAGTTTCTGCTCTCTATAAATTTAAGCTTTTGAGTAATCGAATTTATATAATTCTACTGCAAATTAAAATCCAAGTTGCCTTATAGATTAGCTTTTATTTATTCATTATTATCTATTTTGTCATCTAGAGGTATTTGTTCTGATCCAATATTTTAATCTTTTCCAATTTAGACATTTTAATCAAATGCTAATGAAGCATTTTGTAAGTGAGGATTTAAATTGATACCACTTACCAGAGGAATAAATGGATTTAGCTTCTTACTAATAATGTTTTAGATAAGTTGCTGGTGATTTAAAGACTGAATAAATGCAACATCCTTTTCGTTTAGACCTTAAGAATTGCCTATTTTATTAGAATTTATCTACTTCTTAAGTTATTAAATCTTATTAGTTAGATTATTATTATAGTAAGAGTCATTCTAACCTTAACTTTGACAATCAATTATAGCTGGCAGCTCTGAATTTAAGCTTTAAGCGTTTGCAAATGCTTTGTTTTCCTAATCATCAATTTATGTTTTGGTAGTTTAGCAAGATTCTAATAATTGTACATCAGTTTCAAAAATTGCATTTTATTCTAATAGAGTGCCTAGAGATTCATTGTGCTTAATATTTTGTGCTTTTATTAATTATTTCTGCTTTATTTTTTCTTGTTTTTAGTTTTCCATTTCTTTCATTCTTGAATCAAGTTCATTTTAAAACTCGTCCCATTCTTATTTTCTCTTTTTTTCTTAAATCTTAACCTGCTTAAGGTTTTTTAATTAGAAAATGGTTTTCTAGATAAACTAAAATATCTATTTTGCCATACTAATTAAAAATAGACTCAAATTAAATAGAATATTGATTAGAATTACAGCAATTATTGCAAATCCTACCTCAAATTTGGTATCTAAATCTTCCATATTTTCAGATACAGCTGTTAAAGATGTAAAAACTATTAGAATTGTAAATTCATTAGCGCAATCAAAGAAATTATCTATGCCTTCTTAATAAGGCCTATTTAGTGTTATCATTATTAAATTCATCAAGCTAAGTAGTATTCCTACTTGTAACTAAATAGCTTGGTATTCAACTAAGAATACTATTGATAATGCATACATAAATCTTCTAAATATAAATAAGCTCATTGATATCAAAGCGAATTTGTTGTTTGTATTAAGATAGCTATATAATGATCCAAATCTTAGTTAAAATTTCTCCTTTTTAATTTTAAATTGATTATACACTAGAAAATGATAAATAATAATTGGAGCAAGAGCATAAAATATAAATAATATAGTTGATACAATCGTATAAATCATTTCTGTTGACTAAATAAATAATTAAAATTAAGGAGCGAGAAATAAATTACTTAGTTAATTGATATTGCAACTTAAAGAAACACTTTCAAATATGTTTTTGCAAAATAAGTAATCAATGCACCGTACATTAATTTATTCTTTATCAGTTCTACTAATTTCTTTATTCTTAAAATTACGTTACAATACAACTTTTTAATCTTACAGGCTTGATTTTCTAGAGCCTTTGGCTATCAAAATACACAAGATTATGACAATAGTTATCATTAAAAATATCAAAGTAATCTGGCCAATATTTTACACTATAAACTTATCAGAGTAACTTTGATAATTAAGGAGTTTTAATTTCATTGCTGGGATTGGAAATCTTTAAAGATATCTATTTGATCAAATTGGCTTTCTATTTTAGCACTTGATGAGGAGAATGCTGAGAATATCATTTAATTTAATTCTTTTGGGATAATCTTGACATTCGAAATGTCAATAATGGTCTCCATGCAAATCATTAAGTTTGAGGGTAATGATAATGCTAGGAGTGGTATGTGAGTTAGAATTTATAGAGTATTTAACAAGCTCCAAATTTGCTTTAGAGACACACCAATGAAAAAAGCTAAAGCTAAATTTGAAATAATACTAGCAGATAGTGATTAATCAAGCAACTAAAATGTAGCCTTGATAGTTGCCATAAAAGCTAAAAGTTTGATTAAATAAAATCTTACTCGAATTTTAAATTTAAGAAGGTATATTGCCTCAAAGAATCAAATTTTGAGTTACTTCAAAACCATTTATGGGATTATTGAAATATTGATTTTTCACAAATTGAACCAATAGCACATCATAAGACTATAGAATTAATTTATTATTTTATTAGAGTTTTTACTTACACTAGATTGGGAGATATACTAAGGATTTCTAAAGCTAAGTTGAAGTATTAATTATTTATTTGTCAATCTTTCTATAGAGAAATCTTCTAGTGAAGTATTTGCTATTGAGTTTAATTTAAGAGCTAATTTTAAGTCTTGTTTGACTTTTGAATAATCAATAGTTTAATATTAGTAAATCTCTTAAGGAAAGATGATAATAACTTCCCCTTCCATAGATATTTTCTTAATGTATGGATCACATAAACTCTAATCTTAGCAGGGTCCTTTTTATTTCTCCTATTAAATCACTTAAATAGAAAAAACCAATATTTTGAAAAGTTCATTTTTATTTTTGTAGATGTAAGATTTGCACATATAAGTTCCTAAATGATTAGAGTTAGGTGATATGATTAGAATTTTATCCTAATCTATACAAAATTTTGAAGCTTCTCCTAAGTCTAATTCTACATTGTATTTACTTAAGCAAGAAGGATAATATACTTATCTCTATGAATTAGCATTAATTTTTTGATTACTAAAGCCACATTATCCTCCATTAGAAGAATTCGTTGAATTAGGTGAGTCTATATCATCCTTTAATAAATCATCTAGAGGAGATTTGGGTTTCTTAATACTAATAACTACAGGGATTGTAAATAAACGCATGTAGTTCAAACTTGAAAATATTAGGTTGAATCTATACTGCCCAACATTTTTATCGTCATTAGTTTGAATCTTTAACTATTTTAGCTAGTTACTAACTATATATATTTGAGGGATTTCAAAATCAGCCTCAACATAATATCTCTCTTTACACCAATTAAGATCATAGTTATAATTTTGTTCTATATCAAATATCATTTTTGAGTCAGATAGAGTGTAGTTTAATTAAACTTTGGACTATTTTCAATTAAATTTGACTTTATCACAAGATATAAGAACTAATAAAGTAGAATATTGTATCGTTTGTCTGATATACTCATAGGTTAAGATGTTAAGCTTGTATGAAGGTTGATAGATACTGCTAGATAAACCAATTTCTATATATAGAGTAAAATCATTGTAATCATTAAGGATAATTGTCAAATCACTTGGATAGCTTGATATAGTATAACTAAACATCATTTTGCAAGTCGCCATAGTCATTAAACCCTTGGTTATATTTATGTCTAATTCATTCTTGGAGAAAAAAAATGTTTAAATACTCTATTAACCAAGATAGTACGTTACATTTCCAAATACCGTTTCTGGAATTTATAAACATTATCCATCATCCTAATGATTTAATAAAAATTGAGGCTATATCTCAATGAGTTCATTTTCAAATGGAAAACTAATTACTGAGATTGAATTCGAATAAGTCTAGTTAAATGATAATATTGTATAAGTAAAAGCATACCAATAATCATCATCTAAGATTAATTGTTTAAATAGTATTTCTTTTTTTTAAATTGTAAATGATATACAACTATCTTAGTTAAATTTCAGGTTATGAATAAATGATTTGGTATAAAGTTAAGTATTTTCATAGACACAGTCAAAATATCCATTTTGATAGATATACCCAAACATCATTCTTTCACCATATTTAGAAAATTTTATTCCTGAATAAACCCCTTCAAATTGCTTAGTCCCTTGCAAAATGAATCTCATCAGAGTTGCTTTACCACGATAATCATATTCAGCATAATAGAATTCATAGTAATCTTTAATAATCATCCTCAAAATCTTTTAACTATAACTCTCTTGTATATTGATATCGGTACATTCAACTTTATTTTAATTAACGAATCTATTGAAGACTTTTCCAACAAAATTTTGACCATTAAAAATTTAAAAATCAAATCTCATGAAGAATATTTCTCTATCGTAACTATAGCATAAATAAAGCGAGTTATCATATGAATTCATTGTAATACTTGCAGATCCATCTTAATCTATAGATAAAGTTGTTTCAAAGTAAGTTTAATTCACAGTGTTATTCTCCATTCCAGAATGATTAAATAAATTTATGCCTATTTTATAGTTCCCTTCTATTCTATACTAACTCTTAGAAATCAGAAAGTATTCGTTTAATGCATTAAATTGAGATACTGCTCCATAGATGAACCTATAAATACATTATTAATAGAACTTTATAGGGTTACAGAGTTTCCTATGTCAAGAGAATTGATTTACTGAAATAATATCTGTTATCAACTGCATTTAAGTGAAAGATATATAACCTTTAATAGTAATAAGCAAAGCTCAACTATGTATACAAAATCATTCTTTCATCAAAGTCAATGTTTAAGTACATTTAAGTTTCATAAAATATAAATGAATCAGAAATCTGTTACTACGAAACGACCAACTGAGTTTACAAATTAAATCTCATAAATGACAATTCTCCAGTATTACTGCTTGAGCTATATATCATTGCATTAATTCCCCTTTAGTCTATCATGACTTTATCATAAAAGATGTCCTAATTATAGATCTTATGGTACCATAGTACCCAATCGAGTTAGTATTATTAGATTAATGATGGAAAATACTTATAGTAGCCAATGTACAATAGAATCTCCTCATTTTTAGTAAATGATCCGATGAAGACAAAATTTCCAATATAATCCTGACTTAAATCAGTAATAAACATATTCTTGATATCCATGCCAAGAATTATTGGAAACTATGATACGCAATTGACTTATCTTAAGATCATTGCTTGAATCATCAGTATTAGTAGTATATGGCTTATGGCTTTCATTAATTGATATAATAATATATTTAGAAATTGGAATTTATTACTATAAAAAAAGCATATTTTATAGCATTTATTCCTTTAGGGGTTTTGGGGTTTTGGGGTTTTGGGG